AGATATAAATAACATTCTGTGTACAGTGTACACCTTATCTGCTAATATGATAGTTTACCCTAAGCTATCATTTTTCGATCCATTTCATGGGGGAAGATAATATTCCTAATAATTACTTGACATAACATGTACTTGTTTTCGGCCGGCAAATATCAGTTTACACAAAAGTAATGTCTGTTTTCACTCCGATGAAGCTATTTATAGTATTAATGCACTAATGTACATGTAATATAAAATTAGCGCTAGTCCTATACTATTCATTTCATAGTGCGTATAAACCCTAAATAAAGCGGTGTTTATACTATGCCGCTACGAAAATTCACTTCATCATCGTGAAAACAAAATACACATTCTTAATACTAAAAACGTAACAAATTTTAATGGTGAAAATCTATGATTATATAAAAGAAACATACTAGTATAAATATTTATATTCACAGTACAGTGTGGGTTAATGTTTCAGCGTTTTCACTACTTGGCATTTGCCCTAATGATAGCAGTTCAATTTGGGAAGGCCGCTGTTCACGAAGGATAAACCTCCCTCGCCGATGTATTCTGTTCCAGAGACCATAACTTCCATATAACCCCAGAAGCATCAATAGTATCCCGATTGTTGATCCAATAATCAAGTACAGGTGGTCTGGAGTCCGGGTTGTGACCGGGGCCTGTGTTTGGACCCCTGGTAGGTTTGAAACTGAAGTCGTAGCAATACTTGCGACCGGGGCCAGGGTCCGCAGTGAATCTGAAATCGTGGTTTTAGTGGGGACCGTGATAGGAAGTAAGGCCCGCGACGTGCCTGGAACTAGGGTACCGGTAAGGGTTAGGATGGTGGCTAGGGTCCGGGGTGGACCTGAAATCGTGGTTCTGGTGGGGACCGTGATAGAACCAAAGGTCCGGGACATGTCTGGAACCAGGGTACCTGTAAGGGTCGGGGTGGTGGCCAGGGTCCGGGATGAATATGAAACCATGGTTCCGGTGGGGACCGTGATAGGAAATAAGGTCCGGGACGTGTCCGGAACTAGAGTACCGGCAAGGGTTGGGATGATGGTTACGGTCCGGGGTGGGTTCGAAACTAGAGTTTCGGTACGGGTTGTGATAGAAAGTAAGGCCCGGGAGGAGTTATCCGAAACTAGTGTACTGGTGGGGGCCGTGACTGTGATCAAGTTCTGGAATGGGTCTGAAACTGGTGTCCCGGTGTGGGTTGAAGTTTTGGGCAGGTGTGGGGTCAGGGTACCGGCGAGGGTCGCAAATGGAACCAGGCCTGGGGTCCGGGTCGAGTCTGAAACTAGGGTCGGGGTCGAGATTATGGTCAGAGGCGGGATTCCGGGCGAAGAAAAATAATCTGATGTAGTCAAGTCCGGTGGCGTAACTGCAATCGTTGAAAATGACTGTCCCGTCCAGGAAGCTGATAATCCCAATGTACAATCGCTTATAATACCAATCCTTGACTCCCGAAGCAGCCGGCAGTCAAATGTGGGGTTGCCTCGCACGTCAATACGTTGCAAGTTCGGGAAAGACAACAAAAGCCTGGTTATATTGAAATTAACAAGGCGGTTACGCTTCAAGTCAATCACTATGACCCATTCTCTTTTGCCTGTTACCAGGTGATCAATATTCTCCAGTCGCTCGTTAGAACACTCCAGTAATCCAAAATTGACAATCTCGCGACAAAATGGGGTGCTTCCATGTACAAGAAGTAAAACGCAAAACACAACAGAAAACATTTCGTAGATCTGTCTAAATTCCAAGTGAAATATATCCTTTCATGTATACGAATAAATACTGATCTAAACTACGTACGCTAATGAACCGGATAAGCACTCTGAAAGCTATGCATAAAGCGTGAGAAGACAGCGGTCATAGCTCAGCTTATCTTGAAATTGAACTATAATAATCCTTCCTTTCAAACATGCGTAATATTGGTTATTTAAAATCACAATACTATGTATTGTTAATTACCTGTAACCACAGGAATAATCTGAAAAATATGCAGAAAGCGTGGGAAGATAGAGGTCGAAATTAATCACATCAAGCGTGCTAAACACAAATAAATATTGTGCAATGTTCATTGGTAACTAATACTATTAATTGCGTAACGCTCATTTTCCAAAACCGGAAGCAGCAAATAAACAAGTGGAAACACAAAACGGCGGGAATCGCACAAACAACAACAAGTCGACAACAACAAGAAATCAAAAAGCTATGGGAAAAGACAAGAAAAAAGAGGCAGAACGACAGAGAAAATTACGACTTAATAAAAAAACAAAATTAAAAAGGCTGGAGGCTTTCTGGGCGTACGCCGAACAAAAAAATCAGTCCTTTCTCGACGAATTTCTTGCCTCTTATGAAGGCAAGCAGGACAATAAGCAGGACCAGAACCAGGAAACACAGCAAGAAACCCGGGAAACCCCACAGCAACCGTTGGGACAGTCGGTAAATAATGCTGACCTGGATTTCCTGGATGATCCAGGCAGTCTGGACTTTATCGATAATATACGTTTAGACTTTTTTAATGACTTTTAGACAATGTTGAATAAACATTTTTATTAACACTATTCTTTATAACAGTTTTTGAAAAATAACACATATTAAATGTTCAAACTATTAGCAAAATCGTTTATGAATTTGTTTGCCAAGTAATGTTCCTCGTGCTTTTCGGATGGTTTACTTGAAAGGGGTTCCACAAAACTGACATCTTGATAAGGTTCCTCAGGCACCCAATCAAAGTACTTGCATGAAGATTCCTTGTCATTCGAACAGCAGAAAAACTCTCGATCTTTATTGAGACCTTCCTTTTTCACCTTACGGACCATACACGGTAATCCATGGTGACACTCTGGTTTGACTAAAGGTCGTACATCACCCCATACCCAGAATGAACACGGCTTCAGCTTGTTGGAACACACAAAAAACGGTCTCCCATAACTTGCTTTCATCAAATTTCTAACAACCCGCATTTTCGCAAGTTTACTATGTTCACAACACCGAGGATGAGGCTGTTTCGTAGCTCTCCATGCAGTTATAGCCTTTTCATACAAATAGCCCTCATCCTCGCAGCAAAAGAAATTGCAGCTAGGATTCTGATTGCAAAACCAGAAGGAACCATTTTGAGTTGTCGAATGAGCAGCGGGTTCACCGTGTAAGCACCTCATCTCTTCACAAAAACTATAAACATAAAAACAAAAATCGCTCGTCTCCTCTATTTATACTCCCCATCCAACACAGCTAACCAATCAGAGACGAGTATGATCATGACGTAGTTCAAGGGTGTACGTACACCGTGTACGTACACCATGTACATACATAGTATATGTACGGGGTGTACGTACACCGCGTACGTACACCCCGTACGTGTACGTACACCTCTAGTATAAATACACTTCCCATAATCATCAACCACACACCGAAATGGAATGCGTAGGAGTTTTATCAGCGCCGGAAGATGTGATATCACCAGCAAACATACCTCTATTTGGAATCCTGGCGGAAAATACAGCAGAACCGGGACAGTGCTATTTCTGCTTCGAACAAATTGATGAAAACGAGCTACTGGCGATGACAATGCATTGCTGCCAACAAAAAGCCCACTGTCGGTGTCTCCAGATGTGGGCGACACATTACATTGGAACAGATATTGAAACCGTACGGTGCGGGTACTGCAGAGCACCATTCCCGGATAAGGAACTCTGTTATCTGTGTCTACAAAACAAAATCACTGGACAAGAATTGAAGGAAACCCGATGCTGTCAAACAACAATCCACAAGAAATGTACGGAAATCCTAAGGGAAATACTGGCAAACCTGACATTCGATTTCTCGCTAGAATGTGGCGAA